CTTTCCAGATGTATCTAAGTCTCATTGTGTTATTTTTTTTATACCAAGGTGGTGGCTGGGTGTGGAGCTTGACCAGCCTGTTGGGAAGAATGACGGTTCTGTAGGCGGTGTGAGRTACTTCACGTGCAAGCCAAGATATGGCGTATTTGCTCCCGTTACAAAAGTTAAAAAGTAGGTTTACACATCTTCTTTACCATCCGACTATTGTTTCTTGATCACGCCGTATTTTTKGTTGACACTAAGCGAAAATTACGGMCATGTCATAAAACCCCAGATAGATGAGCAACTCCCTATCCCACCCCCTCCCCCTTGGTGCAATTTGGTTAGYTACCAAACCCCCTCGGAGACATTGATCTTCAAATTTATCGATACTCTGAAATATTCTCTGGGCTAAGAAAGTCAGGGCACGGCCGACTAATTCACACCCGGCGCCTAACGCCCATGCGAGGAAAAAGAAATGGAATCTCTGGATCTGTATCATAGACTCACGCGTGAGACTCACGCAGAGTGGGTGGGGAGGGTTTTAACCAGGCAGCGTCATTCTAGAGCTCTTGAATAGAGGCTACGCGTGGAAAATCTATTGTTCAAGCCAAGAGGGCTGCCGCGTTACAAGTTCATTTCTAATAATCTGCTTTGTTTTCTTTTTTTTTTTTATCAGCCTGACTGCCGAAGACAGTTTTGCTGTACCTACTGCGCCTGCGCCAAAGACACACCATAATTCCCATGGTTCATTACACGAGACAAGTTCAAAAGGATCACAGAATGATTTATCAGGCTCGAACTCTGACCTTGCTGGACATAAACAAATCAATTCGCTGAAAAAAACGCCGGCCAACTCGAACTCAAACTCCCGCCGAGGCAGCGCAGACAGGTACGTYATGTTGTAGGTTCCCTGTCTTGAGAAAAACTGAGTTGAAGCCATAAGAAGAATTGTTTTTTTTTTCTTCCTTTTTTAGCATAAAAAAGGCCAGTCTTGGATCAAGAAAGGCTCAGAATTATGAGTTCAAGTTAACTGAGGTGAGGCACAACGCACGCTATCAGGGCTTTCACAGTGAATACAGACTCCTTGTGTGTCAATCTGGCAACGRAAACGACGAAAAAACATTTACACGAGTAATGTTTTCAAATCTCAGGAGAAGAAGACTGTTGTTTAGAGCCTCAGAACAGGGAATTAGTAGAGATCTATAAAATAGCGCCAAGAGAAAATGAAGGAAGAGAAGGATTCCCGTGTGTTGTATTGGTTATATTTCTAGTGTGTTAAACAATTTATGACACCTTATATTTCCACTAGGGTATGAGTATACTAGTGAACAGTGAACTGGGTGTGGTCAGATATATCGGTACAGTCGACTTTGCTGATGGTCTATGGCTGGGCGTAGAAATGAGGAAACCAGGTAATGATTTGTTAAACTTATAAGTCGTTATCATTTTCGATGACATTCTCTTTGATTTATCCGTCCGGAATCTTTTCTTCGTGTTTCTGAATCGTATTTTGCTACCCAGAATTTGCATGAATGGATGCTTTAATGGATGGATGCATGCATGCATGCATGGAGTGATGGATAGATGCTTGTATGGATGGATGGTTAAATGGGATGAATGCATTGATGAGTGGTTGGATGGAACGATGGATGAAAGAAAGAATAAGTTGTCAATATATTCTYGCTTTTCTAGTTGGAAAGAACGATGGCTCTGTCAACGAAAAGAGATACTTCACATGGTAAGTAAGCGCTGGATTTTAATTTCGAGCTCTCATCCTTCTACCAGTAAAACATTTCCCCAACACATTAATTTCCACAGTAAACCAAGCTATGGACTGATGGTGCGACCAAGCCGAGCATCTTGTCGAGGAATCAACTGTGCAAAGCTTGTCGAAGATATAACGTCATGAATAGCCCGAGTAAACCAGATAAGTGGATCATGTTAAAGTGTTAGGTAGCCCGAGTAAGTAATCTTGAGGAGTGAAATAAGTTGAACAGGTTAGTCCGTTACGTAGCCCGAGTAAGCTAATAGTCTTGTGCAAATATTTGATATTAATTTGCCTCAGCAAATTAATTAGTCAAACACGGTTTATTTAGATATGACTTGCCATAAGTTTGTTAAAAGTAGCCCGAGTAATTGCATTGTGGCACGATCTTAGAATTTGACATTAACAGCGCAACAAAGTTGAATGTCAGACAAAGCAAAATCCCTGTGAGGACCCCTGTGAGCAATTAAATGTAAATACAACTGCTTTAGTTTGTAGCTTCTGTTCGTTTCTATTAGAGCCGGACATATTCAACCGCAAAACTAGAGTTTTGATTGACAGAACTATTTCATTTTACTCGGGATTCACTGACCTTCGGAGCCAGAGGTTCACGGTTCGATCCTCAGGACCTCCTCTYCTGTTTCGACTTCTCTCTGTTCTGTGAAGCTTTAGCTTTAAATACTCACGATAATAGGAGTACTGACAGTTTGAGGGGTAAATGACGGAACGCCTTCAAAGGCTTTAACACGAACCCCTGGCTTGGGAGAATTGGGCAACCATTCCCTGAAGGTTCGAAGTAAAATAGATTACAAGCTTGACATTTATTTATTATGAATATTATTTTACACTCGGAGGCTATCGTGAATTAGAAGCTCTATGGGGAATAACTAGTTACAAGAGTTAGTTTAACTGACGATGCAATAACGAAAACTAAGGAGTATTTGTGGAATACTTCATAAATAATTTCASCATTATCGTTGATTTTCGAGAAAAAATAAAATGTACAATTTCTTAGCTCAAATGATTATATTTTATTGTTAGAAAAGAGAAAATATATTTTGTAGGTAATTGTTTATAGTTCTCGATAGATATTGGCGCATTTATTCAAGTAATTCGTATTACTGAGGTGTTAAATATTTTGCTTATCAGAAACTAAACACCYTTTTATGTATTTATTTAAAACAAAACACTTTAAATAAAAGAGAAAACATTTATTTATATGCAATAACCGAAATAAATTCAATTTAAAAACCAAGCATGTTTTGCTTTGACTAGCGTTGTCTTCATTTGAGCCTGCGCACCGACGTTTCTTGAACTCTTTTTAGCTTCGAATGAAGAAGAAGCAAGTTATGCTCAAAATTAACAACTTTTGGGATAAAAAAGACATCGGGAATTGTCATTTTTGCGAACTCTTCGTGTTAAATGAAAGCCTTGGTTAGCTTTGGCTTATCARCTAGTATGGCGGCCAAACATACCATCGTGAGAACTATTTTCAGTGTTAGTGTACCTTTCAGGATCTCATTTTTTTAKAAATTTTCTTTTCCTTATACATGACACTTTTCCTTTACGCGTATTTTTCGCTGTGTTAACTTTTTTAAATACCCCGTCGTTTAAAGCGATTTTTTGTCAAAAGTGTCGTTTAAATGTTTTAGTCATGGCTATATTTTATTCCTTCAAAACAGTGTTACTGACTTTGAGTCTGTGAGTTAGGTTAGCCGTGCCCTGTTTTAGATCAGCTCAGTCTGGTCGTTTTTTAAGTTTAATTACATTTCAAGGTTTGTATTCAAAAAATAGTTTCGTTCTTCAAATCTATTCATATATTTTTGGCCTCAGGTGTAATTGTTCCCATTTCCCTTAGATAAATAGGGAATCTCTTTATTCCGTCATATTTTGGATTCCACGCTTTACCAGGTGTTAGCTAAGCAACCGGAACATCCGCCCGGCATTTATCATCAGCTGGATCAAGACCTTTCCAGGGTAAAACAAAAGAAAGTCACGAATCATAGGCTTTAATTACTGTCTTTTACCGCTAATTTAATCATTTATCTTGACTTTAAGCAGCAATTAAAGTCTTTTTAGTTATAAAAAAGTAGATATATTAGAGAGCGCGGTAGGGAGGAATTGCAGACACGTCGAAATAWCGAGAAAAATGTTCAAAATATTCGCTCTCATATCAGAGTACGGTATTCAAGGGGGAAAATCGGATCAAACTCTTCAAACCCACTTGTTCTTCTTAATTTCTTTTCAAAAAGCCGTTTCTTTCTGTGAGATCTCTGATTTCTCTTTCCTCCGAGTTGTCTGGATTTCCTTCCTCCGTAAAAATCAACATGTGACTTAAGTATTCTCGTTAAGATATCTTTCTTCCCTCATTTTCCTTCCTCCGTAAAATTCAACATCCCCCTAGCCATTATCGGTTAGAAAAAGCATTAGCTCTTTTGATATCAAAATGGCTACTTGGAGCATAGTTAATTCATTAACTATGTTTGGAGTCGTAAGACTAGATATGTTAAAACTGCCATTTAATATCAAGTCATTGGGAGAAAACATGCGTGGCTCTACTAAGCAGATGACCCGGTGCTTTAAGTGTATATTTTGATAATTGGTCAATAAGTTTAATAAGCTAGTGACTCGTGTTCAGTTTTAATGTTTCGCCGGAATATACTAATGTGTATTTGATCAATTAAACCCCGAGGTAATGAGGTGTCAAGATCTTGAAAATAACACATGTGCAGGCATCTGAATAGCTTTCACTACTGATTC